ATAAGAGGTACCAGTGAAGTTATATAAACAGGTACCCTGGTCCGTGTGATTTGAGTGATTTGAGCTGGGTTCAAACCCTGTGCTCTCCATGTCCTAACTGCCTCCATCCACTATGAACACACTTAACAGGGCTAAGCAAGGGCTAAGTTAGCGTACTTTGGGCATTTCATCCTTTGGACAAATCCCTTCCCCAGTTTGAAGCAGCCAGATTCTGGGCTATCCTTTACAGTCAGAGTTCCCCCACAGTGCCAGGAATGCCTGTACAGGTATTTCAAGTCCATGCTGAGGAGCCCTGAACAGCCAGTCTAAGGAACACCGATGTGATAAGGCACACTGCAGTTTTTATGGACATACTTGGCTAAGGACATCTTGAGAAGAATGTGCTTTTTTCTGCTTCAGTCTACCCATATGTGCCCCTTGAAGGTGCTTGGAGGTGCCCAGGCCTCCTACCTTCCAGAGAAGAGCTGACTGTGGGGCCAAGGAGTAATTGGTTAGTGCAGGGTAGTAGCAGGAGGCTCATCAACACCCCCATCAAGCCCAGAGCTGCTGTGCTCCTTCCTTGTCTTGGCTGAGGGTTCCAAACAGTTGAAAACGCCAACCTGGCTAGCCATCTCCATGGTGGATGTTTTCCTTCATTGATTTCTGTCTCCAACCTAGCCAAAAACCAGTTTCTCTGTCCTATTTAAAAGCAGGACCCCTCTCCACTTAAGTGGAATAGTTCATCCTGTCCCCAAAGTTGGCCTGATTCCCATCACAGCCTGTCCCCACATCTACCTCCTGAGTCAGCTCCTGGCCCTAGGCACAGTGTATGATCTTGCCTACGTCTTTGTCCATACTTTTTTTTTCTTGGCCTGATGTATTAAAGTGACCTTATCCTTTCATTATAGTACCTTTTTAGTCGCCAGTCGTGCCACTTGGGATGACAGAGGTCTTTACCTCTGGTGTCTCGTGGTGGTACTGGCTTGTTTACAGTGAGCAGAGAAGTTTTCCCACTGGCAGCACTTTACTGCTGTTACTTCTCCAAAAGACCCCAGGCCATCTGCCAGTTGTTTCACACCATTCCAGGCAAGCACTGCATGTGCTACTCTTTACATTGGTTTTCTGCCATCTCAATTCCTTCATGGGCATTCTGCATACTTCATTCTCTACCTCTTTCATTATAGCTGATTCTCTGGACATTTTAGTCTCTTTACCACCACTGCTCCTGGATTCCCTTGTATCTGACATCTTTGTCCATCAATACCAGCTTCTGAAACTATGGTCCATGCCTGTAATCCCAGCACTCTGGAAGTGAATCAGAAGTTCAAGACCAGCCTGGGCTACATGAGACCAAAAAATTAGAACAGCCAGTTACCCCACTAATCCTGGTTGTATCTTACATCACCACCATGCATACCATTTTACTGCTGTGTGTGTATACCATTACAAAACCAGACTGATAGGGAACAGGGCTCAGCAAGCCAGCATTGGGTCACTATTGGGCCCCCTGTACCTAGCAGACCCAAGAGATAGTGCCTCTTGTGCTGGAACTATTTGCCATTCAATTACTCAACCATTTGTTTAGTACTGACTGTGCCAGGCACTATTATAGGTATTTGAGACATACATTAGCAGATAAAACATCTCTGTCCTAAGGCTTATGAAACTTCAATAATAAACACAACTAACTATAAGTTAAAGTTGAAGGGCTGGAGAGATACTCAGCAGTTAATAGCACTGGCTGCTGTTCTGGAGGACTTGGATTTGGCTTCCAGCACCAGCATACCTGCTCACAACTATTACTATGGTTCTAAGGGATGGGATCCATATGCCCTCTTCTGGTCTGGACACCAGTCATACACATGGTACACAGACATACCTGCAGGCAAAACATCCATACACAAATCATTTTTAAAAAGTTAATCTAACATGGACTAGGGCTGTAGCTATTGCTTGCCTAGCATGCATCAGACTGAGTTCAATCTCCAGTTCTGCATAAAGCTGTGTGTGGTAGTACACACCTATAATTGCAGGACTGGGGAGATAGTTGGAAGAGAATCAAGGGTTTGGGCCAGCCTGGCCTATGTGAAATCTTGTTTCAAACCAAGCTGACTTGGTAAGATGGCTCAGCAGGTAAACACCAAGCCTGACAACCTGAGTTCAATCACCAATACCCACATGGTGGAAGAGAGCCAACTCCTGCAAGTTTCCTCCGACCTTCACTTGTGTGCCACAGACAAATTTTTAAAACTATTCCATTTATTTAATTGGGGGGGGCATGGCACAGTGCACATGTGGAGGTCTCTCCATCATGTGGGTCCCAGGGATGGAACTCAGGCAATTAAGCTAGCCATCCTCTCAGCCTTATAATGTTTCTTCTTTTGAGACAGGATTTCTATGTAGCCCTGACTGTCCTAGAACTAGATATGTAGCCTCAAACTCACAGAGATCCACCTGCCTCTGCCTCTCAAAAGTGCTGGGATTAAAGGGGTGCACCACCATGCCTGGCCTATAAATTTTTGAAAGTTTTTTTTTAATGTGTCCCAGGTATGTATGTGTTGTGGATGAGTATGTTATGTGGATGCTTGATGAGGCTAAAAGGGCATCCTCACTATGCAAAATGATGGACTGAGGTCCTTCTTAGTTTCATATTTTTGTTTGTTTGATTTTTTTTTTGAGGCAGGGTTTCTTTGTGTAGCCTTGACTGTCCTAAAACTAACTCTGTAGACCAGGCTGGCCTTGAACTTAAAGAGATCCACCTGCCTCTGCCTCCTGAGTGACATCACCATCTGGCTAGTTTCGTATTGTTTAAAATGATAAGCATAGGGAATCTCACACTCTGATGAGAAAAGCAAGGGGAAAATGTAAAATGAAACATTTGTGTCCATTGGTGTTTATTCACTCCATGTAATTATGTATTTTACAAGAATGACATCCCCTGGAGCTGGAGATACAGGTAGTTGTGAACCACTTGATGCTGGTGTTGGGAACCAAACTCAGGTCTTCTGGATGAGCAGCAAGTGCTTGTAACCACTGAGCCATTTCTCCAGCCCCAGTCCCATCAATTTATATTTTAATTGTTTAAAAGTTGATCAATGAGCTGGGCATTATGGTGCAAATGAGCTGGAGAAGTTGGCAGAGGGCTAAGAAAACCAAGTGTGGTGGCATATGCCTGTAATCCCAGCACTTGGATGGTGGAGACAGGAAAAATCCAGACTTCAAGGTCATTCTTGACTACATAGTGAATTCAAGGCCAGCTTGAGCTACAAAAGACCCTGTCTGAAAACAAAACAACAAAGTGTTGACCAAGACTGTGTATTAGCTCAGCAGTGGAGCACATACAATGTTGGGAATGGACTTTAATATTGCAAGTAAATAAACATCTAAAAATTAAAAACCGCACTTTCAAAAGGCATACAGCCAAGTGGGGACCTGGAATAATGGGATTGCAACAGGATGAAATGAGTGTGGTTATGGGGCAAATTCATTGCAGGCAAAGGGAACAGCAAGTTAAGTATGAAGTCCCAGAGGTTCAACTGTGCCTGCTATATTCAAGAACAACTAGAAATGAAATTCTGTTGTGAAAGGAAGGGTAGGTGATTGTCAGTTAAGTGACAGACCTGATGTCTATCCTAGCAATGAGGACTTCAATGGCTGAAGAAGTCCTTGCCGATAATGAACCTTGCTTGAAAATCCTAACTGGAAAGGGAGGGAGGAGGGAAGGCAGGAAGACTGACCAAGGGAAGCCCAGAAGAGGCAAGGAAGTTCCTGCGTCCAGTGTAAGGAAGTCTCATAAGGCATGCAGAAATGTTTGGGATATCATTTTCTAGGGAGAGGAATGAGAGGTTAAGTATGTGCCAATGTTGGCTGTGTAACAGAACCTAGTAAGTAAATAAGGCTGTGGCAGGCCGGGCGGTGGTGGTGCACGCCTTTAAGCCCAGCACTCAGGAGGCAGAGCCAGGCGGATCTCTGTGAGTTCGAGGCTAGCCTGATCTACAGAGCGAGATCCAGGACAGGCACCAAAACTATACAGAGAAACTCTGTCTCGAAAAACAAAACAAAACACCCGAAAAACAACAACAACAAAAAAAGACTGTGTGGCGGGCAAGAACGGGTAATTGAAAGGTGTCAAAAAAAAAAAATTAGGGGAGCATGTAAGCGAAGAAGCTTCACCCAAGCCAAAGTTCCAAACATGCCCCTCTTAAAAGGTCTACCTTTCCTCTCAGCCTAGGTTCTACCACACCAAGAAACTACAGGAGAACCTGGGAATGGTTAAGGGAGGGACCCAACTGATTGAGTGCTCTTTGGACCAATTATATTATGGGATATTCAGAGAACTTCTGAGAGGCGCTCAGAACAAAAAGGCGAGCCCGAAAGCCAATAAAAACCCTGCAAAGGAGGCAAGCGAGGGGAAAGCAAGATCACGCCTCTTTAGCTTTGCCACGCCCTTCATTCTTGCTTGGCCTCACCACAGGGAGCAAGTCCGATTGGCTGAGCGACAAATTTTAAAGGGCGGGGCTACTACGTTTCACAGTGGGAACCGAGCTAGAGGTGGAGGGAGGGTTGCAGGGCGGGGCTAGATTGTCCTATCTATGGTGGGAAAGGCCAATGATAATCCAGGACACCTCGCCTAGAAAGTCATCTCGAGCCTTTAAATTCTTGTTTCCCGAGGCATCACAAAGGACTAGAACTGCTTGGCTCACCTGTTCTTTTCCTCCTTGCAAAAGTCTCCTTTGCCACCATGGGGATGTACCAAGTGAGACTGTAGGGGAAGCAATAGGTGACTGGTACGCCAGGCTACTGGCTGCTGTTCACCTCGATGCTATTAAAATTCTGGCAAGATCAAAACTGACTACTAACCCACCTCTACATCCCCCTGGCGCCGTTCCGGGGCCAGCGCCACATTCCCCGGTGGGCACGCAATGGCCGCACCCCCTCCCGCTGCAGACAGGTCTTTTGGTACACTCAGCCCGAGGTGAGTCTCCTCCTTCCTCCTTTCCAGCGCGTGCGTGCGCATGCGCGAAGCGCGGCGCGCGCGGCTGTTGGGCCGCTGGCTGTGGGGCCCTGGGATCCGCTGCGTCTCCGCGAGCAGTCCGCTTTGAGTCGCGAGCCGCCGTGAACACCCGGATTCCAGCGGGCGCTTGCGAGCACGGGGGCATCGCCCGCAGCGGCCAAGCTCATGGCCGACTGAGCGGGACGCCGCCTCCGCCTCAGCCGCCGCCGCCGCCGCCGCCGCCTCTTCCTCCTCAGCCGGCGGCGGCCCGGGCCCAGCAGCCATGGCCGAAGACTACTGGGACGGTCGCCTGCGGCGAACTGGAGGAAAAGGAGGTCGCGCGGCCTCATTCCAGGCCGCCGCCCCAGGCGCCGCCGCGCCGGCCCCGCGGCTCTGAGGTTACTCGCGCGCCCCCTCCGGTGAGCGTGTCCTCGATACTTAGGGTGGGGGCTGCCCTTCCTAGAGAACCAACCCGATCCTAGGCGGTACTAGGACCAGAGTTAGGGGGTTCTGGGCTGCTTGGCTGTCAGGTGCCCCCTCCCCCTCGAGTTTCCCAGAATGCACCGGGGGGGTCATTTGGGGCCTCCCTGACCTTGGCCCCGCCCTGGGCCCCTGTCCTGGGAGCTGAGGATGGGAAATGCTGTGGATCCTAAGGGGGAGAGGGGTGATAAAAGGACTGGAGTTACGGAAATGGAATGATAAAGTAGTGGTGAAAGATTCAAGGTTGCTAAGGGGATAGTAAAAAGCCTTACGACTGTGTAAGAGTTCAGGCCCAGTGAGTGCTTGTGGAAGTGGGTTGCAGGGCCATGAGGGACGCAAGGATGTATAACGGGGGGGGGGGGGGAGGGGGGAGGAGAGGGGGCAGTCCAAAAACATGCTAATGGAGATTAGGGCTGCAGAGAAGCCCAGTGTAAATGGAGAAATGGTGGTAGAAGTACCAGAAGGTGGCCAATAGAGTTAGGGTTCTGAGGCCCAGTATGTGATGATGAAGGTCAGGATAATGTTAATATTGTGTTTGTCCACGGGATTAGGGGTGGCATCTTTTCTGGAATCCGGGTGTGTTCGTGGAGGTAGTTGATGGACTCAAATGTTGAGTGTGTGCTGATGATGGAGGGTCATGGTGGAAAGGGTATATAGATGTTGTAATAAAGATCTAGGTAGTGTGGAACCCAGTATATGCCATTGCAGGCAGAACTGTTGAAGGACCTGAGGGTGTGTGTAATGGGGCAGGGTGGTGGAAGGCAGACCTGTACTATTGGGTACCAGAAGTGTGCATACATGTGTATGGGAGAGTGCCAGTATATGAAGTATATGGCGCTCAGCACACCAAGGCTTACAGTGAAATGTGAAGACAGAGAATATGAATTTCCAGAAAGTATGGGGTAGTACTATATATGAAGTTCTAGAGCAGTGGTTATCAACCTCTAGGTCACTACCCCTCTGGGGGTCACATATTAGATATCCTACATAGCAGATATTTGCATTATGAGCCACGACAGTAGCAAAATTATAGCTATGAAGTAGCAACAAAAATAATTGGAGATTGGGGGTCACAACATGAAGAACTCTATTAAAGGGTCACAGCATTAGGAAGGTTGAGAATCGCTGCTCTAGAGGCTGCTACTGTGGGTTTAGAACTACACAGACACTTAATGTATGCTATTGGGGGATGAGAGCATAAAGTAAAATATGCTGATGAACATCAGAACACTGTGAATACTGTGTTCTTCCTGTTCATGGGCCACTGAAGTGTGTTGAATCAGGGAGTGCTACAGGGGCAGATTTGGGGGGGGATGGGAATCTAGTGTGTAGTGGAAGAAATGGAGCTATGAAGGAAATCAATTGTGATCCAAAGGGTTAATATTAATAGTAGGGGGGTGGGGGTTGAAGCAGAGGGGATAGGAATAGGTGATGGTGTAAAGTGTGCCAAAGTGAAATGGAGCCATGAAGAACTCAAGTGTATGTTAATGGGGGTCAGGGTTAAATAGAGGAGCTATAAATGAGGGTCAGTCTGATATAGAATAGTGTGTTTGTCCTTGGAGAATAGTAGGGCTAAGTAAGGATTCATGGTGTGCTAATAGGGAGTCAGGACTAGGTGAAGCCTGATGTGTGCTAGTAGGGGTCAAGACAGAGTGAAGATTCAGTTTGTGCTGAGGGAAAAGACAGTATAGTGGAAGTACAGGACAGAATGTATGTTAATGATGGTCACAACTGTAAAGGTAAGGGCTAGAGAGATGGTTCAGCTATTAAGAGCATATACTGCTTTTCCAGACTACCTGAGTTCAGATCCCAGCGTGCACATGATGCTCACAACTGTGAAGGGGCCTGAGTGTTTAAAAAAAAAAAAACTGGTCAGGGATTGTACAAGGTTCACTATGTACTAATGTGACTCAGAGCAGTGTGACGGTCCAGAGAATGCTGATTTGGGTCAGCTGTAGAGCACCTTGAGTGCATGTTAATAAGGATCAGAATCCAGAGGGGACACTATGTTACTGGGGTAGGGCAGTGCTACAGAGAGGCTAAGAAGCGTCGAGGCTAGGAAGGGACTTAGAATATGGTGGCGACAGGAGTTGCTTGAAGAGGGCAAATACATACTAACAGAGTTTTGAGTGCTAAAGGGAGTTAGAGGTAAAAAGAGAAATCATGATGTTAATGGGAGTTAGGTGTAGTGAGGGCACGCCTTTAATCCCAGCACTTGGGAGGCAGAGGCAGGCGGATCTCTTGAGTTTGAGGCCAGCCTTGCTTACAGAGTGAGTTCCAGGAGAGGCTCCAAAGCTACACAGAGAAACCCTGTCTCAAAAAAAAAAAGATGTAAGCCGGGCGGTGGTGGCGCACGCCTTTAATCCCAGCACTCGGGAGGCAGAGCCAGGCGGATCTCTGTGAGTTCGAGGCCAGCCTGGTCTCCAAAGCGAGTTCCAGGAAAGGCGCAAAGCTACACAGAGAAACCCTGTCTCGAAAAACCAAAAAAAAAAAAAAAAAAAAGATGTAGTGAGAGCCTTCTTGAGGGTCAGTGTGTGCTTAATAGAGGTCAGGGTAGAATAGAAAGTGTTGTCGTATTAGAGTATGACAACTGTATGCTCAGTGGTGGAATTAGTGTGAGTGCCCTGGTGTGAGAGTAGCCTGGGGACAGGTCAGTGCGTCTTTTTGTGGGGGAAGTGCCAAGAAGGACAAATACCATATAGTTGTGGAATTCTTTTTTGGTTTTTCGAGACAGGGTTTCTCTGTGTAGCTTTGCGCCTTTCCTGGAGCTTGCTCTGTAGACCAGGCTGACCTCAAACTCACAGAGATCCGCCTGCCTCTGCCTCCCGAGTGCTGGGATTAAAGGTGTGCGCCACCACCGCCCGGCAGTTGTGGAATTCTCTTTCCCGATTCTTGCTCCTTCGCTTATTCTGAAGTCTGTAAGCTCAGAAACTGAAATTATGGTATTTAAGTTTTGCTGCTCATAAATGCTTAAGTGTATCTGATTCTAAGGGTCTGTCCCCCTCAAAGTGTTATATAATATCCTGTCTTCTTAAAATCCCCCAAAAGATGAGTTCTGGAAAATGTCCAGTCATTGAGGGTTCCAGTGTATGGTCATAAATTAATTCATAGCTCCCTTCCCATCCCTCATTTTCTTAGCCCCTTCCCTTATTCCTGTCACCACATACAAAATAACTGAGTATGGCCGGGCGGTGGTGGCTCACGCCTTTAATCCCAGCACTCGGGAGGCAGAGGCCGGCGGATCTCTGTGAGTTCGAGGCCAGCCTGGGCTACCAAGTGAGTCCCAGGAAAGGCGCAAAGCTACACAGAGAAACCCTGTCTCGAAAAACCAAAAAAAAAAAAAATAAATAACTGAGTATGAATGTCGTATGGGGACAAAAGGAAGTCTGAGAGCTGGCCACTTTCTAGACCTTAGATCCAGTGTTCAGCCTCCAAGGTCAGAGTTTTATGGTATTATTCTGGATTCTTTGTGGGTGGATCTTACCCTTATCTATCTGAGGTTTCTTCTGCTAGGCTGACTCTGCCTCCCTTCTAGAGGTAGCAGGCAGAAGTGGGAGTAGGAACTGCTGGAGTAAGCACTTTGTTTCACGGCAACAGATGAACCATTTCTTTTCTTGAATCCATCCCTGGCCTTATCCTCAACCTCCTATCTAGCTCTACTTCCCTTGGGCCCTGGGCCATCTCAAGACCTGCTGTGAGTACAGATGGTTCCTCAGCCAGGTCTTTCCCCTCCTTGCTGGCCCAGAGCCCAGGAATAAGCCGAAGAATGCCGACCTAAACCTTTTGGTACCCCCATCCCCTCCAGCAGCCCATCTAGGTCGTCTTCCTGTCAATTCTAGCATCCCTGGGTGTCTTCTTTGGGGTAGTCTGTGTCTGGGACTCACCTCAATAAAGGTTGGTCCTAGGCTCTCAGCCCCTTTATTCACTGCTTCTGTATGTACTTTTTGAGCTTCTACTCAGTGTCAGTCACTATTCCAGGTTCTTAGGCTATAACTATGGCCTCAAAATACAGAAATTACCCTGGTGGAGCACATCTTCTAGTTACAGTGGTGAGAAGACAGACAGTTAAAAAAAAAAAAAGAAAGAAAAAAGAAAAGAAAAAAAAAGAAACCAATAAGTAGATGGTATTATTTCTGAGGTGGTAGTGAGAAGTAGGGGACACGTTGGCAAGGTGTGGGAGCTCAAGACTGAGACTTTAAATAAGGTAACTCATGGAAGCCTCATGAAAAATGCGATATTTGAACAATGGGCTAGAGAGGATGGGGAGTGAGATATTTTACAGTCTTCAAAACAACCAGTGTACAGATCCTGAGGTATAAACTGTTGGGTGTGGTGCAGAACAGCAACTAGGAATGATCAAGGTGAGACCAGAGAAGTAATGGGGGTGAATGAAGTATATTCGACATATGGGCCACAGTAAGGACTGCTGTGTTTATTTGGGATGATAAGGAAGATGTGGTATATTCTCTAAGGAGAAAAGAAATATGACCTAGCTTTTTAAAAACCTGGGTTTGGACCCTGTGGATTCTAATCCTATCGAACCTTTCTAGCAGCTCTGAGGATAGCTGCTGTGTGTTGAGACATACCCCCCCCCCACAACTGCATCCAGTGGTTGGGCCTTTGCAGCCCTCCCCCTATTTGGATAGAGAAGTGGGGTGACCCATTAGTCACCATGACAGTGGTTGCTGGGGGAAGTGAGAGGGTCCCTGTGGGCCACAGGGAGCATTCTGCCTGGCAGTTGGGGGCAATGTGGGGCTGGTGCCATCGAAACATGCCATTCTATGGGCGCACCCAGGACCTTGTCACTAGTCCTTTGGTTTTAACTGAACCCCTTGTCCCAACTGTGGTTGCGTCTGTCACTACTGCTGCACCTGAGGATAGCTGCTGTGGAGTCTTATGCTCCCACAGTGAGACTATTGCCCTAGAGACCAACAGTCTACTGAGTGGACCCTTGTCCTCAGCCAGCCACCCAAGTCTTAGTACCCAGGTAGACTACTTAGGGATGGGCTAACAATAACAGAGGGCCCTATCCATGCTAAATTTCCAAGTATCTATAGTGGTTGAGTGGGCACTGACATGTTCTAGGTTGTTGTGGTCTTTCAGGGACCCATGCTGATCAAGCAGATGCTAATGTGGTCCCCATTTCTGTTCATGTCCCCGTTCAGGTTGCCATGGATCGGATGAAGAAGATCAAACGGCAGCTGTCAATGACACTCCGAGGGGGCCGAGGCATAGACAAGACCAATGGTGCCCCTGAGCAGATAGGCCTGGATGAGAGTGGTGGTGGTGGTGGCAGTGACCTTGGAGAGGCCCCTACCCGTGTTGCCCCTGGGGAGCTTCGCTCTGGACGGGGCCCACTCAGCTCTGCACCAGGTGAGTCCACTTTGATCATTCTCTCTCCCTGCCCCAGCTCCCAGATACTACCTCCCAGTGCATTCCTTAGACTCTTGTTTTCCTTCCTTTTTTCATTTTCTCCCCCTTCCCTGTCATCCATTTCTAACACTTTCTGTACCTCCTTCCTTGATTTTATATCCAGGCCCCAGGCGGGAGGAATGGTACCTTGCCTGTTGCAGCTGCCCCAAGGCTCTCTGCCTTTTTTCTGCACTCTGTGGTGGCCCTCTCAGTCTCATTGGGTCTGCCTTCTCAGGGCTCTTGGCAATACCTGTCACCACTAGCCTTCTGACCCATGGGCATTTACCATCTCAGCTCATCTCTGATGGAGTATACTGTACTAGATGACCATGCCCCTTCCATATCTGTCCTGGGCCCACCTGGATTTCCTAGTCTGCTCTAGGGGCGATGTATACACATGGATATGATGAAGGAATGTATTGTTTTGGGGGCAGGAGGGAGTGTTCTTGACTCCAATGACCTGGCATTTCCCTCTCCCCACCACCAGAAATTGTGCACGAGGACATGAAGATGGGGTCTGATGGGGAGAGTGACCAGGCTTCAGCCACATCGTCAGATGAGGTGCAGTCTCCAGTGAGAGTACGCATGCGCAACCACCCACCACGGAAGATCTCCACTGAGGTACTTGATTCCTGTCCCACTGATGGGAGAGTTGGAGAATGGGGTTGTGTTTGGGGAGGTGGAGCTTATGATCATGCTTCTCTTTCATCTTGGCTGCTAGGACATCAACAAACGCCTGTCACTACCAGCTGACATCCGGCTGCCCGAGGGCTACCTTGAAAAGCTGACCCTCAATAGCCCCATCTTTGACAAGCCTCTTAGCCGGCGACTCCGCCGTGTTAGCCTGGTAAGCATCTTTTTGTCTACCACCTATCCCACTCTCCCAGTGCCCTGCTCCAGCCTGCTTCAGCGTACCTCCTTTACTCCACAGTCTGAGATTGGCTTTGGAAAACTGGAGACCTACATCAAGCTGGACAAGCTGGGTGAGGTGAGACAATCAAAAGAGGACCGTGGTGAGGTCAGTATGAACTCCATGCAACCTCGTTGCACCTCTGCTGTCGTACTTCCTCACACTCCAGGGTACCTATGCCACTGTCTACAAAGGCAAAAGCAAGCTCACAGACAACCTTGTGGCACTCAAGGAGATCAGACTGGAACATGAAGAAGGGGCACCGTGCACTGCTATCCGGGAAGGTACAGACCCTATCCTTAGACTTTCTTGACTCCATGACACACACACTCTCTGTGGTGAGTAAGGATTCAAAGACTGGGGTTTTTCAGACCTTCTCTCCTTACCTTTGCAACATTGTGGCCTTCATGAGAGTGCCCACCATCTATATACCCAGGTAATAATCAAGGTAATTAGGGATCTAAATGGATCAAGGAAGGTAAATTAATTACAAATTATGGTGTTTGCTTTCATTCTTCGAGCACTCCTTAAAGTGTTCAGAAAATCACTTGGAATAGATTTGAATTACACAAAAAGTGAGTATAAATTCCAGCCTGTGTGCTTAGGTTTGGACAAGACCCCTTCCCAGAAAGCAAAAGCAGATTGTGAAAATATAGTGTCACATGAAGTTGGGGCTGTAGTCCCACACTTTTGCTTGGTACTCTTGTCTAAGCCTTATTTTCTACATGTGGATCATTGAGACACACCTACTTCTTAGCATATTGTAAATCAGAGCTAGGTGCTCTGAGGCATTACCCTAAACTGCACAGGGAAAGAAGGAAACATCTAAGCTCATATCTGTCTGGTCCTTATCTTTATTTTGAGGATGGGGCTCTCACTGTTGCTCTATTCTGTTCCATGCTTTCTACAGTATCCCTGCTCAAGGACCTCAAGCATGCCAACATCGTCACACTACATGACATTATCCACACAGAGAAGTCCCTAACCCTTGTCTTTGAATACTTGGTAAGGTTGGATAGCAGTAGACCCCAGGGAGGTGGGAAAATGGCCAGGAGCCATAGTATGTGACTCTTGTTCCTGTACTACCTCTTTTGTCCTCAGGACAAGGACCTGAAGCAGTACCTGGATGACTGTGGGAATGTCATCAACATGCACAATGTGAAAGTGGGTGTGGGACAGAAAGCAGGATTAGGAGGGGGCCCCCCACTCACCCACTCCTGTACAAATCTCCCAGGAACAGTCTTCCTGTATGATGTTTTTACTGGGAGCTCTTGGAGGGCATTGGGAGCCTGTCATCTTTTCTGTGATAAGACATTGGGCTCAGTGTCGGTTTGGGAGGGAGCAGTGCCTGCCTGCTGCCAAGTAATGGGCTAGTGGATATCTTTTGACTTCTGCCTACCATTCCTGGGTCTGCAGCTATTCCTGTTCCAGTTGCTCCGTGGCCTGGCCTACTGCCACAGGCAGAAGGTGCTACACCGAGACCTCAAGCCCCAGAACCTACTCATCAACGAGAGGGGAGAGCTCAAACTGGCAGACTTCGGTACCATCAGCCTCCCCTTTCTTCCCTCTGACTCCTCAACCTTAATCTCCAAGCAACTCACTTCCCTATGACCACCCAGCTTCATTCCCCTTCAGCCTCTCCAGACTTTGATTATGGCAGGCATTCTTAGTCCCAGTTATACTCTATTCCAAGCTTTGCCCACAGCCTCCTCGTTCCAGCTGCTCTTTTATTTATTTATTTATTTATTTATTTATTTATTTATTTTTGCCTCCCAGGCCTGGCACGTGCCAAGTCAATCCCTACTAAAACATACTCCAATGAAGTGGTGACATTGTGGTACCGGCCCCCTGATATCCTTCTCGGATCCACAGACTACTCTACCCAAATTGACATGTGGTGAGGAGAGGTGGAAGTGTGGAAGGGAGTGACTCCCCAGCCAACTTCCCCTACTCATGATGCCTTTCTTGCCCAGGGGTGTGGGCTGCATCTTCTATGAGATGGCCACAGGCCGGCCCCTCTTCCCGGGTTCCACAGTGGAAGAACAGCTGCACTTCATCTTCCGCATTTTGGGTGAGGAGGAAGTTTGTGCCTGAGGAGCTGTGGGGACATGCAGGAAAGACCTGAGATGTTTGGGGTAACTTGGCTTGTCTTCTATACTAGGAACCCCAACTGAGGAGACATGGCCAGGCATCCTATCCAATGAAGAGTTTAGAACATACAACTACCCTAAGTACCGAGCTGAGGCCCTTCTGAGCCATGCACCCCGGTGAGGCTGATGGGTAGGTGGGCATTAGGGGCCAGAATGTCTGAACTCAATGTAAAGTGCATCTCCTTATCTTGTGTTAGACTTGATAGCGACGGAGCTGACCTCCTCAACAAGCTGCTACAGGTGAGACCATCTTTGGAGGTCAACCTTAACAGGGATGGGGTTCCAGGTGTAGGAAATGGGACCTTCCTTCCCCAAGGGCAGTCTCTGAGGAGGGCAGGTCAAGAGACCTATGTTGAAAGTAACAGTATACCAATACAGTCTCTTCTGTCCAACTCAGTTTGAGGGTCGCAATCGGATTTCTGCTGAGGATGCCATGAAACATCCATTCTTCCTCAGCCTGGGGGAGCGGATCCACAAACTTCCTGACAGTGAGTGTAGTTGGGGAATGAGTGGGTGGCTCAAGTTGGGGCTGTGGAGAGCAGAACCACTGGGATGTAGGGTGCTGGTTTGTGCCATCACTAAGGAGGGAATATCCTCATGCACATGTGGCAGGTTGTATCTATTAGGAAGAAATTTTGTTTTCATCTTGGATTCCTTTCAATTTTTATGAAAATTCTCATATAGTACATACAGATGCAATATCCAAAAAAAGTGTACACCACAGGTTTTACAAACTAAGCACCCATATGACTTTCAGACAGTTCAAAACCGATGGGGGAGGTTCCCCTAAAGCTTCCTTATACTGTATTTGGCATTCCTGGCCCCTTCCTGTAATAATAGAGCTAGCTGGGGGATTCTTTTGAGGCAAGGTTGTGCTAGGTAGCCCTGGCTTGTGGTGTGGTGTGAGACAAATATTCACGTGAATCAGATAGACCTTAGGCTTGCTATGTAGCTTAGGATGACCTTGAACTGGTCTTGCCACCACCTCCCAAGTGCTAAAATTAGTAGGTGCATGTTGCCACACCTGGCTTTCTATAAAGATTTTTAAAAACCTCATTTTGGTGGGCTGCTGTTTTTATTTTGGGGGACACTCTTATCCTCTTCACTATTGTTGCCTAGGCTAGCCTGGAACTTGTGACAATCCTCCTGTCTCAGACTCCTAGTAACTGAGATTACAGTCATGAGCCACTATGCCTGGCTTAAAAATCTCAGCACACAGAAGAAAGAGGAATGTGGATTTCTGTCAATTCAAGGCCAGCCAGGTCTACATAGTGAGTTCCAGCAGAGCCAGGGTTATAAAGACCATGTCTCAAAAGTAAAACAAAAGTTCATTACACAAAAAAATTGTTGACCTTTCATATCTACCCATTAATTAAATCCCAAACCACCACCTTGCATGTAGATTTGTAGGTAGTATTTATATTAACATTATTATACCTGATAAACTTAATACATTTTTTTATCTCATGCAGTGTTCCAGTAGTAGTCCATGTCCCATCTTTAGTTACAGGCAGTTTGATAGAAGAAAGTCAAGCTTCTCAAAGAAGGAGCAACTTGTTCTAATTCACTCAGTGAGGCCATGTGAGTTTTGTTCTGGGTAGACCCACAGGTCATCCCCCACTTACATGTCTCTTTATCCACAGCTACTTCCATATTTGCACTAAAGGAGGTACAGCTACAAAAGGAGGCCAATATTCGGTCTTCTTCCATGCCTGACTCAGGTACGTGTGGCCCTCCCCTCCTCTTGCTCCACCCACCTGTCTGCTTATCCACTAACAGCCATTCACTCTACTTTCCCCTGCAGGCAGGCCAGCTTTCCGTGTGGTGGATACGGAGTTCTAAGCCAGTTCTAAGCCACAGACCAAGGCCCCAGCAGGCAGCAGCTGGAGGGATGCCACACCCCTCACAGGGCAGCCCCCATCTGCAGTCCTCCCTGCTTGTTGCCTGCCTACCTGCCTGAGCCACACTTTGCTACCAACTTGTCCCCTGCCACCTGCCTAAACACCCAACAACTGGCCTGGCCTGTCAACCCATCCACTGGCCTGTCAAGTCAACCATTGGCCTGTCTGCTGGGTGCTAACAAAGCTCTCACCACTACTTTGCTTGATGTGTCTCTGTCTTGGTAGTTGCCGGCGGACAGAATGGCCATGTCAGTCTCCCACACTAAGGCTAGGCCTTCCCCTCTTCATCATGCTCTCCCCCAGGACCACTACCCCATGGCCAGCCAGAGGTTTGAAGCTTGCCCAGGCCAGGGCCCTTGATTGACTTTGAGTAGAAGGTGGTGATGCCTTGGGTCTGAGGCATCCTCTGCCTGATTTCCCACCTGTCCCACCTGCCTCTGTATGGGCCTTCTTTTTTGTTAGTTTCTTTTAATGTTTTTTTTTATTATTTTTAATGAGGTTCTCACTTTTTAATGCAATATCTCTGTATACAGACTGGCTGGGCCCTACTCCCTGAGTGTTGGCCCTCCTACAGTATTTTGTGCAATGAAGTCCCACTCTCAGCCTTTCAGAGGCAGGGACCCAGACCCTATTCAGATCCTGACCATCACTAGACCCTGGGATTGGCTATGGGAAAGCATGCCTCAGCCACCTTCCTCCCCATCTAGTGTCCCCAGCTATAGGGGGACCTGAGAACTACCAGAGACTGGGAGATGGACATTTGGGGGTCTGTTTTTTTCCCTCCTTCAGTCCTGTAGCCGGGGCCTCCTTCCTTCTCAGGGTCTCCCCAGCCCAGCTCTGCCTAGCCCTCATGCCCTGTCCCACTCGGTGCTGTTGAGTAGGGGCTCTGCCAGGAATTGACCAGCTTTGTGAGGAGCCATATATAATATGTGTATGTGCACAAGCAGGGGACATGTGGGAGCTTGTGCCCAGTTGTTATATCCCAATCCATGGGAGGGTAAGGCAGGGCAAGGACAGTCTCCTGGATGGATGGTTTGCTCCCCTTCCTCCACCCTAAGCCTTGGGACCCTTAAATGGGGTGGGAGGGCAAGGGAGGGTGCCCTTCTAGTAGGGTTTGGGGGGATTGGGTTCCTGAATGCACCATAATCGCTGTATGAAATATTAAAAAAAAAAGTCTAAAATGAAAACTCTGGTTGTAAATCATCATAAAGGCAAGGGGGCTTAAGCTAGGATGATTACTGGGACATTGGTGAATCCATACCTGGTCCCATCAACTAAAATCATTGGGAAGGAGTTGCCTGGAAGTGTGGTGGAATTATGAAAAAAAACTTGACGGAATTGCACATAGACTGGTGGGATGAGTTGAAGCAGTAGGGCAGACTTAATTGTGTTACTGAGAATCAATAACTGAGCAGAAAGGAGTTAGATTTATCCAGCAGTGTGGACAGGCCTGACAGAATGGAGGTAGAAAGTATATATAAGTTGGAAGAAATTTGGAAGGCCCAGTATATCCAGAACGGTATAAGGCAGAAAGATCCAATATGACTATATGTCTGGCTGACACTATGGAGAGGCCAATTAGAGAATGAAAGGAGAGTAGATTTTTGACCATTGCTTATATAAAAGGAAACCTTGAATACACTTAGAAAAGTTCAAGAGTGAAGTCATAGAGCCAGAAGTTTGGACTACTGGCTTGGTTTCTGGAAATCATCTGTATGGTGAAGTTTACAACAGCTTGAGCTTTGGAGATGGTTCAGTTAGTAACATGCTTGCTATTATGCAAGCTTGAAAGCCTGAATTCAGCTCCCCAGCACTCATGATTTAAAAAGCTAGATATAGCCAGGCAGTGGTGGTGCATGCCTTTAATCTCAGTACTTGGGAGGCAGAGTCAGGTGGATCTCGGTGAGTTCGAGGCCAGCCTGGTCTACAAAGCAAGTTCCAGGACAGCCAGGACTGTTATACAGAGAAACCCTGTCTCAGGAGAAAAAAAAAAAACCTGGGTGTAATGGGTATTTGTAATCTCAATACTGGGGAGTAGAGATAGCAGAATCCCTGGAGCTTGCTGGCCAGCCAGTCTAAAGAACTGGTGAACTCCAGGTGGCAGACCCTGTCTCACAAAGTGGAGAGGAATTGAGGATGACACCCTTTGTTGACTTCTGGCTTCCACATCTTTGTACACACAGCACACAAACAGTGGCACAGCCAAGACTTAGCTTCAAGTGAGAATAGGGCCTTAATTTCCTCTGTCCATGAATACTTCCATCCCACCATCTTGGGAAGAGCCAAGAGACTTGTAAGCAAAAGGGGTGGGCAGGCCTAGGCAAGTGCAAGTATTAGCAAGCCTCAGTGGCTGTTTATGGAAGCACAGCAGTGGTGACCTAATGAACCTCTTAATCACTGTCCTTGTAAGCACTTACAAATCTCAGTTTGAAACTACAATGTGCCACAATGGCTGTCCAGTCCCAGAGTTGAAAAAGTACAGTCCAGTGGTGGTAGTGCACACCTTTAAATCTATCACTTGGGAGGCAGAGGCAGGCAGATCTCTTAAGTTCAAGGCCAGCTTGGGCTACACAGGGAAACCCTGTCTCAAAAAAAGAAAAAAAAAAAAGGGACATTCCCATTTCTGTCAGTTTTGTAATGGATGGGATATCCACAAATTCCTCAGCAGACTTCCTATGCCCATTCTTAGGTATGGGAAGAGATTGGCCCCTGGAAGGTGAAGAAACCAGCTCCAGGGATGGGGAGGAACAGATTGCAGAGAGGCAATAAAAGTCGGATTCAGATGGGTTTAAAGATCAGCTATCTACTTGTGCCAAACTCCATTTTAATACTTCACGTTCTTTGGGGGTGGGGAGCAAGTTAAAGGAGTTCATTCTTTTTCCTTCAGGGCTCATGTAATGAAGTGACCTCATCTGTGTCAGGTTGGATTAGAGGATAGAATCATACTAACAGACACCCCACCACCACTATCAAACTCCCTACAGAAGCTAACTGAAACTGAGGTAAATTAGATCTTGTGAGAGTGAGGAGGGTTGAACTGTGCAAGGAGACATGTATGCACATGGGTTTATGTAGGTATGGAAAGGCAAGTCTTAAAAGTTTGTTCTTGCCTGTGTGTACTATTTGTTACTAATGAAGGCAATCACTAAACTAGCCCCAAAGTCATGATCTTGGGGAGTTTATGGGTTGTCAGCAGGTGAGGATGGCCAATAGAAAAGTAGGTGAAGTACAGAGAAAGTCATCACCAACCTGTAGGGCTGAGAGCCCTAATAGAAAATGGTAAACAGCCTAGTAGGATGTTTCTACACCAGAGACAACCTCCCCACTAGAGGACATCTGGTAATGTCTTCGAGGTACACAGCTTTTGTTGTCTTGAGGGTTGCCACTACTTTCTAGAAGAAGAGGTCAGGGCACAGGTTAATATCCTACAGTGCTTCCCACAACGAAGAAATTAAAATAGTGCTGAAGTTAAAGTCTGGCCTAGAGCCTGGCACACCTGTAACCCTGTACTAGGAGTATTCGAAAGGCTAAGGCAGGAGGATCACCATGAGTTCAAGGCCAACCTGAGCTTCATATTCAGAATTGAGACCCTATATCAGAAACACAACAAAAGAAACCCTGGTCCGTTCAATGGTTCTCAAATGTTTGGCTTCAGATTCCTTTATATAAAGATTTGAGGACACCCAAAGAATTTTTGCTTATTCCAAAGTACCCTCTGGGTAATTCCATCATATATGCATGATTATGAGAGTGAAGATACTGCAGAAATAGTGTTGACTTAGTGAAACCCCCAAGAGGGTTTCTTATTTATTTATTTATTTATTTATTTTTTTTTTTTGGTTTTTGCGAGACAGGGTTTCTCTGTGTAGCTTTGCGCCTTTCCTGGAACTCACTTGGTAGCCCAGGCTGGCCTTGAACTCACAGAGATCCGCCGGCCTCTGCCTCCCGAGTGCTGGGATTAAAGGCGTGCGCCACCACCGCCCGGCCCCCAAGAGGGTTTCTTGAGCTGATAGCCTGTGACCACAGTTTGAGGATCTGCCTGGTGTTTAAGGTCACAGCTCTGCAACTAGGTCTGCACTGCTACAACACATCCTAGCTGGGGACAAATGATTTGGCATTTCTGGCTCTCGGCTTCCCCCATTGTTAATCATGGGCCAAAAAATACAGTACCTGCCACCTGAAGCATTTATTTAAGTCCAACAAGTCACTTAAATTGGGCATACTGGCTATTTGTTATGCCTCCAACAAACACATGGTTTAGAGCTGACTTCACATTTGTCTGGTGAGTAACTCTAGTTCAGGAAGCTGAGTGCTGAAGTGCATGCCTGTAATCTACACTTTGGAGGCTGAGGCAGTTGGATCAAGGCAAATCAAATGCTAGCCTGGGCTTCATAGAGTTGGGGGCAATTCTGAGGAAAGAAAGATCACACACACACACACACACACACACACACACACACACGGAAGGCAAGCCTTCCAGCTGTGAGGCTTCATAGAGTTGGGGGCAATTCTGGGGAAAGACAGAAAGATATCACACACACACACACACACACACACACACACACACACACACACACACACCACACACACACACCCTAGTTCAGGAAGGCAAGCCTTCCAGCTGTGAGGCTCTCAGGAGGTGGTAAAGTTTTTGTATTTTATTTTAAAAAAAATAGAGCGGGCAGTGGTGGCACAGGCCTTTGATCTCAGCATTCCGGAGGCAGGAGGATCTCTGAGGCCACCCTGGTCTAGAGAGCAAGTTCCAGGACAGCCAGGGATACACAGAGAAATCCTATTTCGAAAAAAACAAAACCAAAAAACCATTTTACTTTATGTGTATGAATGTTTTCCCTATATGCATGTATCTACACCTTTTGCATTCCTGCTGATCCCCTGGAACTGGTGTTTGCATGGTTGTGAGCCACCATGTGGATACTGGGAATTGAATCCCCATCATTGTTGCAAGAGCAACACGAGCCCTTAACCACTGTGACATCTCTCCAGCCCCTACATTTGGTTTTGATGGATGAGAAGAGTAGTGCAATGAAAGGTAATTCTAGTTAGGCTAACAAAAATGCTGCTTTCACAGTAGGGGCCACAGTCCTCAACAGAGCAAGGGTCAGGAAGACTTGCCATAAGCACTCTTTATGAGACCCTAAACGCACATATTTGCTCATCTTGAAAACCTTTGGCCTC